CACATGGTGTTGAAATTCTTCCCAATTTGCCAAAAGTGAGTTCACTCCTTGACGCCGAAACTCGCCCAATGAAGACGGGATTCTCTTTTTTCCACCAACAACGTCAGAACTTTCTACGCAACGTCGAAACCTTCAGCTCTTCCGCCAAAGTTTCATACCCGGCGCCGGACTTCTACCGGTTATTTAGACTTCGCTGGACGTTCTACGCGAAGATGGATTTCTTTCCTTTGTTGGACTTCTACCTGACGAGTCTTTTCTGATCTTTTCGTCGTCAGACTACAGTCTTTCCGACCTCCGCGCCAGTCGGACTACAGGTTCTCCTGACTTACGTCGCTCGCCGACTACAAGCTTTCCGACATCCGTCGCCCGTCGACTACGGTCTTCCTGACTTACTGCGCCCGTCGACTACCGTCTTTTCCACCTCCGTCGCCCGCCGACTATGGTCCTCTGACTTAACCGTCGACCACCGGCTGCAACAGTCCTCGACCCCGTTCACCAGATACTACGATCCTCCTGACTTCCATCGCCCACCGACTACAGTCCCTTCCAACAAAGCGAATGATGTCAATAGTATCTCTTTTATTAACATTCATGTTAATGTACTCTATAAATTGTACATTCAAGTTTAAGGCCTTCTCCAAAAAAAAAAATGGAAGGGCCTCATTTGTAATCGACTGCAAACTAGTAGATTCATTTCAAACTGGGCTAGGGCCCCTGGTTTTCCCTCTTTCAGGATTTCCACGTAAAAAATCTTGTGTCTTCATAATGCTAGACTCTCTCTCTATTCTTATATGCGTCCGGATTTTTGGTTACAACGCTAAGACGATAAACTTTATATTTATCTACCGCCTGTGAATACTCCTGAACGCACAACAGTCATTATTCTGCATTCAAAATCTATATGGAACTTGGAACATTTAGAAAGAGTTCTATGCGGTTTAGAATTGCAAAAATGAATCAACTTAATAAATAAATTAATCAAAAAAAATTTTTTTTTTTTTTAAAAAAAAGTCTAATTAGACATAATTGTTCGATGAGTAAAGAAATTATCCTTTCAATCATCGCATCAATTTGGAAGTAAAAAAATAAGAGTTAAATTTTAGCATATGAAAGTTAAGTTTTTTATTAAACCATGCATGAGTAATGTATTTATTTGATAAAATATAATATCTTGAAGATATATTATCATAATGTGTTTAGAAGTTGAATGGCATATAATAATTAAAAACTATTTCTTTATTATTTTATTCATTCTTATGAGCTCCATTCTTTGCTATTTATGCTATAATATATACCAATGATAATGTATAATATAATTTAAAGGAATAAAAATTTACTGAATTGTTATATCATTATCATAATTTAAACTTTTATTTGTTTTAGTGATTTTAATCTTCAAATAAACTTTATTAAATATACATTACTAAATAATTAAGTGCCTATTTGCCACGACTCTTTTTGACAAATTGGATTATGCTCCTTTCAATAATTGGAATAAGAATTTTCTTCCAAGGTCTCAAAAATCCCATCACTCTCGATCACCAAGTAACTAATCTACCGCGCATAATTTTGTTATTAATAGTAAAAATCAAGTTACAAAGCATTAGAGATTTTTTCACTCAGTCAAAGGAATGATTCTATAATCCAAATTGTATTTAGCGGTTTTTGTAAGCTTTATTCTTTACTAGATCAGTGCTTTTTGTTTGAATATAATGTTTCTATTATGTTTCAATAGTAACTAAAAATTTTTTGTACTGACGAAAATTTCTATTTATGAGATGTTACAGAAATTTATTTATCATATGTGATAATTCTAAGCATTGAATATTTCTTTGCTAATAAATTAAAAAGTTCCGAAATAGAATAATATAGAAAAATGTTAAAAGATTAAATAAATAAATAAAACTACAGTTGTTATAGTAACCCGAAAACTTCCCATTAATACATTTTATATATAGTTTTATATTAAATAATAATATATATTAGTGATTATAATATAATATATATATATATATTATATAGAGAGAAGAGGAGAGAGAGAGGAGAGAGAGAGAGAGAGAGAGAGAGAGAGAGTGTGAGCAGTCAAAAAAATTGAGAGAAGATAACTGCTGGTTCAACATTACAATGAAGTGGCGAAGATGTGCGTGCGAATGCGGCCTAGGTGTTTTCGGGTTCATCTTCTCTTTCTGTGTTTGCTATAGATAATCTCTTCCCTTTCCTACTGATTTCTCAGCTAGTGGTTGTTAATCGCGAGGTCGGACCTGGTTTTTTTGGAAGGGAAAATTTAAATCGAACGTTCTCTTTCATGATGCTTTTATCCAGGGATTCGCCACTCTTTCGGAGTTCCCTGATCTTAAATTTCTTCTTGCCATGGTTTACATGCTTTATGGATTTCTGTGAGAAAAATGAAGGCTTAACTATACATCTTGAGTTTGCGTTTGGTTGGAAAGTTTCCCTGGTAGGCGACCTAGTTAAGATGCTATTCACCAAGTTCTTTCTTTTAACTTAAGCTTTCATGGTGATTTTTCTGTCACTTGCTTGAATCCAAAAAATGTTTTGATTTAAAACTTATGAATGATCTTGAACTATTGCCGTGTTTTCTCGCCACCGTTCTTAGCTTCGTGGGAGCGCAGCAAACTATTAATGAAGTTTGGTTAAATGATCTCTCTTTCAGACTGTTGATATAGATTCTCACTATAACTTTGGAGTATCCTTATCCTCGCAATCTTTCGTCGCACTATTTACTCCTAGAATTTTACATCGCTGGCTTGGTTTCGTGTTTGGCCGTGCCGTTGGGACGGATAATGCGATCTTATTCAAGTTATAGGTTAAAAAAATGAGGCCCTCTGTTAGGCCGTCGTGATTGTTGATTAATGTTACAAAGAAGTATGGTTGATCAAGTTTGGGTTGGCTCGGAATTATGGGATTCATTCAACGTGTTGAAATGGAAGAATTTCCTCCTATTTGTAATCACTGTAAACTTCTTGGTCATTCTGAAAGCTGAATGCCATATTTTAAACCCCCACATTAACTCTTGATTCTAATGCTGTTTGTTTTTAGAGGTGAGTGAGGGTGTAGATAATGAAATTTGTGTGAGCCTATTCTTTCGGTGGAAACCCTGTTATTGTTGATGACTTTGCTGTGATTTCTTCTCAGCCTTTAAGTCATCCAGTGGCTGATATTGAGATGGTAATTCCCCTTTAGCTGGAAAGGATGTTGTTAATCTGCCTGAGGCTGTAGCTTCTGCTCCTCTCTTTAAAAATAGTCGAACCCTCTATTGATTAACTGTAATATTGATAAAGATATTTTGTTAATGTTGAGCAAGATTCTTTGTCTTCTTGCGTAATTTAGTGAGGAACCGAATGAGTTTGAATTTATAATGGTGGTGGCTTTGTTTCTCCAATTCCCACTTTGGTGAGCGGGGGGGGGGGGTGGAGGTGGGGGGGAGCTCTATGGTGATAATGAGATGGAGGCAAGCTGATTTGGCTTTAATTGATAATGCCGGTGGAGGAGACTAGTACGGAGGAAGTTGTTGTTTTCGCGGTCATAATGATGCAGAGGAGATTGGTCAAGTATATGAAGTGCCTCTTACTGTCATGTCCCCCAAAGGTTTAAACTCTCTTTCTATCTCAAATTTGGAACAACATGTTCTAGGCAATCGCGTTTGACATGATAGGTATCTTTTATCTTCTTGAGGGGTGTGAGGATTTAAACGTTGAGGAAGTTGACTCTATTTAGGAGTTGTATGGATTAGTTCAAGATTTCTGAAAAAGCTTTTTTCACATGGAAGTAAACGTTGTAGGAGGAAATCTAGAAGTTAATTTTATCTTTTTATCTTGGTTTGGTGATGGGTGGTATGTTCGAAAAGGTTGGTGGCTGCTGCCAAAATTTTCTTTCTTGATTGTTGTCTTATTTGTCCTTGCAGTTTCGGTTGCTGTTGGTGCATTAACTCCGTGCTTTTCAACTTTCTGTTAAGGTCGGCTCGTTGTTTTTGGCCTTTGATCCTGTTTTTAATTTTTATTTTTTTATTTTGAGCTTTTGTGGTTTGCTTATGTATCTTAGTTTTGATTTTCATGACCCATAAGTTTTGTTTCAAGTGTTGTACCTTTAGAGGGCTTAAATTCCTTAAGGACTTGCATTTCTATTTTATATTTAACACGAAGGCCCCTGCTGTGGGGTTATATAATATATATATATATTATATATATATATATATATATATATATATTATATATATATATATATATATATATATATATTAGCAATTGTGCATGCATTATTAAAGATAAATCATGCATCGATAAGAATAATAAAAAAAAATTTAAAGACATGAATTTTAAGGTTTATAAAAGTAATCTTTTGATCAATGACTCATAAGACAAAAATGATTCAGGCCAATTATTGAAAAACCTGCTTGTCTCTCATGCAAATACTTCAGATTAAACTTTGAAAAAAAAAAAAAAGAAAAGATCATAGAATTCTACCATCATAGAATACTGTTTTCCTTGTTTTTATTCGATTCACCGTTTCTAAGAGAGTTCCAATGAAACTTTCTCCATTCATCGTGGGAGATGTAGCTTTATTCTTACTAGATCAGGGTTTTGTAGAACTTCCTACATTACCGATTATTATCATAAAAAAATATTATTACTAGCCGCTAAGCTGCTTTGTGAAACAAAAAATATGAAAGAGCTATTTATGGAAAAAATTCATCATAAAAAATAATTAAAAAAATTAAAAGTTGCAAGATATTTTAGCAATATATATATATATATATATATACACACACACATAATATTTACTGTAAGTTCAAGTCAAGTCCCAACAACAAGACTTTTATGATTAGGAAAGCACCATAGACTTAAGGCTTAGACTTTGTTTGAGACGGATTTTTTTATTGCTTCTCAAAGAAGTTTTCTAGCACAAAAATTTTAGTTTTTTACTAGAAAGCTGCTTTAGGAAGCAGTAAGAAAGCCGTCCCAAATAAAGCCTTAGTTTGAGACATCTTTCTTACTGCTTCTTAAAACAACTTTTTAAATTAAAAATTAAAATTTTTGCACTAAAAAAATTCTTTAAACAGCAATAAAAAGCTATCCCAAAAAAAATACCTAAAACATTTTTTGATAAATGTTCATAGATAATTTTATGCTCTTTTAACTCTTTATGGAGTTCACCATTACTTGCCTCCTGCGAAGTAATTCTCTCACAAAGAACCTGTAAAATGACAAATTACATTATTATTAATTTAACTTTAAGCTAAGAATGAAGAAAACCAATTTTAATAGATTTGAACATGAAGTTGAAATTTTCAATTCATCCAAATTCAAAGATAAAGCATTGAAACTTGAGCATCTTTTTGATGCCTCCTAAAAGCCAAACTCAATCGTGAATCAAAATTTAAATAAGATTATAATTTAATCTTTCTATAAACCATGTTTCAAATATTACCTTTATCCTTGCCCACTAAAACTAGCGGAACAACATAATTATTTATGCATCATTCTCTAAACTTTGAGGAATAACAGTGCATATGTCAAGCAAACTAAAATGAAAAAGATAAAATCTATAAATAGAAACCCTCAACTAATCAAAGGCCTAGTCAATTATTTTAGAGCATGGGTATGTAATTGAAGAATATATATTACCTGCAATAAACATGTTAACTTGCTATCTCGATAAGGGACACGGCCCCGTCTTTCCTCTTTTTCTCATCACCAAGTGCATTTATCACATTACTAAGAGCTAACAAGGCCTTATTTATATATATACCTGCTTAACTTTACAGTCATTAGATATAAATTTTGAAAATCAAATATATAATAGAGCTAAAAAAAAGAATAATCATAGCTACCTTCTTTCAAATGCAGCCCATCAGCTCCAGTACGTTTGCACGTTCAGAACCAGCAAGATTAACCAAATGAAGCTTTGCAAGTAAGGTATCATCACCCAAATCATTGGTAATAGATCCCTCTTTGTTGCAATCAACATATCTAAGGCAACTCTCTCTAATCTTATCTTCCACTAGAGCTACTCCAACCTTTTTCGCGTATATGCTCATTTCATATCCTGGTAGCAAATACATGACACAAATTTTGTCAAATGTATGAGAAGCTATAAAAAAGTAAAAAAATTGAAAAAAAAAAAAAACAAATATGTTAAGAAAAATGATGACCTCGATAAAGGGAACTCTAATCAAGAACTTTTTGTCTTTCTTCATTTTACCAGCCTTCTTAAAAATTCTATTAATTACAAATGGAATAATTCTGGTAGTGTGTGATAATGCTAATGGTGGCCAATATAATTTTAACACATGCTGCAGTGATAATTTCTAACATCTTAGAATTATATGAACATCTCACATATATAAAAGAATAGAGCTTGGCATAGAAAAAACATGAACATATTTACGTGAATTTTTTGTAATTGCAAAAAAAAATCAAATATAGAAAAACTAAATTGATGAAATGTCATTTTTTGTAGTCACATTAGATGGCTTGGTCACATAAAACGACAGTCTTCCAATGACCCGGTTAGGAAAGTAGATCTATTATATTTGTCTTATGTTAAGAAGGGTACATGTAGACCTAAAAAGACTTGGTTAGAAAATATTAAAAATGACCTTTTTTTATAAGATTTAAAGGAGAATTTAACTTTTAACCAGGCATAATTGGAAGTATACAAAATTAAAATTTGAGTCACATGTTGTCTACCATAAGCATTTATTGTGTTCAAGAGACTAACTATGTATATCTTGAATCAAGGAGCATTTTATAACTTCTGGAGCATCTAAAAAGAGTAATGTGGCTAAATGTAAGAATGTGCCTTTGGATGTAAGAGAGGATCTGCTAGTTTATCAATGAAATTAAAACTGACAGTAGTGCATAAAAATAAATGACATTGTATTTTATTAATTAAATGTTGAAGTAGCACTTTGTCTTGATTCATGTATGTATCAAGGCCACAATCCGAACCCAATAATCTCCCCTCGTTTGGAGTTCTTAAATCTAGAAGATGACAATTTAATCTTGACAAAACCAATTTACCAATCTCCACAACTTGCACAAGAGAACATATAATTTTAATGAAGTCATGTTTTGGCAGAAGGCACATAAGAACATTTGGTCAAAAGATTTTTAGATAAAGAGAATTTTATATAAAAAAAATCACAAATTTTAGCGTTTCAACAAGAATAGCAAGTTCATCATCTCATGTTGAATTTAAGCATGATTTATTCACAAAGAAAGGAAAGGCCTAACTCGCAATATCTAAAAAAGATTCAACAATATTTTACACTTAACAAAATTTCTAAAATTGAATGTATGCCATCAAACTTGAGATGAGAGACTTCCATATATAATAACAAAATACCATTAAACAAAAATAAGGTTGAAAACTTGGATACGCTAGGGTAAAAGAATAAACTTTGGTTTTACATAACATTATGTCTAAATATTTAAAATGGTAGTAACCATAGTTATTAAGAAATTCTAAGTTACCTCCAAGCATCATGCCATTGCCAAAAAAAAAAAACAAAGTTCTATCAAAGCACTTTCATAAACTAATTCGACATCATAATAAATAAAATTTTATTTGATCAACTAAGCATAAGTCTACTCGAATGTGTTATGTCCCACCATACGTGCTATCAAAAATATTGCAATGAAATTCATGGAGAGATTTACAATGGTTGGCTTTCTTAACCGACGAAAAAAATATACATGCATCTAACTCACAGCTTCCTCCAAATGATTCAATATTAATTTTGAAACTATAAGATGTATACCGACAATATCATATCCTATATCATATCCTTGTGAATTAAACTACGAGCTCGGTTAACTATAAAGAATCAACAAAGTGTAAGCTACCTAAAGCAAGAAATTTAAAGAAAAATATTCATGGAGATAATGGATATATAGTGGAGAATGAAATGCTTGGTTGAGAAGCAAATGAAACTACATTTGATTGCCTCGTTTATCATTATTATTTATAAAGAAAACTAACATTACTTTTTAACAAGAATAAACTCAAGCACCTTACAGGCATTCTTTCTTTTTTTTTTATAGGGAATGCCACACCATCTCAAAGTTTACAACCTACGCATAAAACAAATATCACATATCAAAAGTTTGTTCCCAAACGATATAAACAAACATAAGCTTTCTATTCATCTCATGAAATAATTCATCCAAAGCAAAGGTATTTATTTAAAGAAAGAGACCAAGCATATGTGCAAGCTAAATTACATACGGAATAACATCTTAGGAAATGATTTGATAAAAGAATCAACCATTTGTCATCACTACTCTTGAAAGGACAAACAATCTTGCTAAATCTTTCCAAACCAAGAAGAGAAGAAGAGATGGGAAAAGAGGAACGGGGAGGAAGATTAGAAGAAAAACAAAGTTTGTAAGGAGAAGGAGAAGAAGGGGTAAGGAAGAATAAGAAGAAGGAAGAAGAGGGAGTAGGAGAAGAAAAGCAAGGGTAGGAGCTCACCTTGCCAAAGGAGAGAGACCGGCGGTTTCAAACGTGGGAGGCAGATGTAGTCCGGCGTTGGGTATCTCGCGAACCAGAGACGACAAGGAGAGGGAGGGAGGCGGAAACTTCGTTCTTTTCTTCTGGATTCGCGAATGAGAGAGCCGGAGCTGGGGGTTAAGGGAGTTCCGTTTCCTTTGTGTCCGAATAGCAGAGAGAAAAAAAAAAAACGAGAGAGAAAGGTCGGCCTCGTCCTGGCGAGAAGGAGAGCTGGAGTGCGAGAAAAAAATTTAACTGCCCCGATCCAGGCTTCTTCCGGATCTCTAATCGAGGATGTTTTCCAAGAGAGACCTCTCGCGGGCTCCTTTCTTTCGATCTGGAGGAAGAAGGATAGCTGCGATAGGTCTTCGGCGTAGGTCCAGTCCATCGTCAGAGCCGCTTGCCGAATAAGGAAGTAAGAACCTGTGATTTGATTTCGTTCTGCCGCCAAATCTCTGCTGCAACTGAATAAATCAGATGGGGGATATGAGAAAGCAAGGGTCAAGATTTTTAAATCTTAAGCCGTTTAGATCAATTTCCTGATCTACTCAGATGATTTTGAATTAAAGGAAAAAGTCAGTTAGTTAGCCTTTAACCTAAATCAATTAGACTCATTTGGGTCTCAAATTTAGCCTGAATTGAACCGAGTTTGGGTCAATTTGAGTCTTTTCGTATTTAAATTTAGTTCAATTAAATAAATTTTTGCAAATTAAATCCAAATCGTCACCAATCAAATAGGTTCAATATGGTTCAATTGATCGAGCATGATCGAGTCCACTTATACTCAAATATTTGCTCAATTGACGAGAGAATACGCACGCCGAAAAAAAGGTCAAAAATTAGTAATTCTTGTGTAGCTCTCCAGTAGACAGCACTTAAGCTGTGCAAACTCTGCTAATTTCGTTGAGAATTGAAACATGAATAACAACAGGTGGTTCGGATTGCTCTATCAGTGGAGTTAATGTATTTTCTGATAAGATGGCATTTACTTTTGGGAAAAAGGCAAGTACGATGACAATTTTTATCATATCTCACCATTGGGATATGATATCGATTCATTCAATTCAAGATATATGTTGAGAGAAAAGTAGGATGTCATATTATGAATTTTGGTGCACGAGAATGGAGGGAAGGAAAATTACCCATTCCAGTAAGGATTTTTCTTTTTCTTCTTATGATGATTTATTTGGAAAAAACTAGATAGAAACAAGAAGAACGATCATGAAAATATGGTAAATTGGACTGCCATAAGTTAAAACTTTTATGGAGACAAAAAGTTAGTATAAATCAAACCACAATCATTGTTCCAATGAGATATCATTTTTCTCGTTTCCAAGTTACCTCGAGACCTAATGAAGCTTAAGATTAAAACTTTTTGAGAATTGGTAAAGAATGGGAGCAAGGACCAAGATGTTTTTGTAATTGTGGGGATGTTTATACTGCAGGTGTGCAAATGCACGATCGGAAATGCTACTAGCAAAATCGAACCAGCGCAATGCTCCCAAGTTTGTTCGACGAAATGTCACCGAAGTATCTGATCCCAAATTTGTTGTGTCAGTTTATAAGAATTTACTAGAAGATGGACAACTGATGCTGTAAATAACCTCAAGATCTTCAACACAAGGATTTTAGGAATGAAGAATGAGATTGCTCATTTCTAATCTTCAGAACAAAAACCTTTTAGAATGTTGGGTTGTTGTTTGGAAAGATTGGTGAAATGATGGATTGTATTTCTAAGATGAGTTTTATGAAAACATTATTTAATCCGATTGATCAATCAAAATTGGATCGAGATAAGATTTTAGACCATTATAGGCATCCACTGCGGTCTTGTACACCTAGAAGATTTTGCAAGAGTCCTCAATTTGGTATAAAATAAAGATAGTGTTGCTATCATTGTAAATGAGCTCCATTACATTGAACTGTTATTTGTCACCCCATTGCAAGTAAAAGATCATTGGTGAAAGAGTTCACAAAAAATGGTATGATTCAAGATTTGTAGTCAGCAGGATACATTATGACTCATTTAATTTCACAAACCAACTTCTTAAGCGATTTTTAGTAGTTCATGAGGAATTGACCTCTTCCATGCCGACGGCAACCACCTTCTCCTCTAGTTGGACATCCTTTTTTCATGATGAAGCGATTAATAAGGGTGATGCTGGAGATCACAGACATTGGTGTTGATAACCTGTTAGAGCTGTAAGGCAATAGGTGCTGCAAACAAGACAAGACAAGAAGGAAAATAATATTGTATATTCACTGTGCTATGTACAAGCTAAGGGATTTATATATAGAGTTCAACTTGTACACATCAGCAAGAATTAAGAACCTAATACATATACTATCTTGAGTTTAGAAACTTCCAGAATATTTATTTGCTAACAGATGTCACTTCCAAATCATCTGTAATCATGTAGGTGACCACTTCTCTTCACAAAGCCTCCAACACCCCCCTGCTTATCCAGGGGGCAACAGAAGAAGACAGAACCCGATGGAGCCACGAAGGCGACTTCGGTGACCATCGCACACTTGCAAGTTGGGCACATGGTATTTCTCACAGTACTACAGTAGTGACTTTTCTACTGCAATAATTACAAAGATAGTATTTGAGCCCTACACTGGAGCCCGATGGAACTACAACAGTGGCTTCTGTGCCAAGAAGCAAATGATTTGTAACATAAAAGTGACACTTTGGGTTGAAGTAAAAGGCATTGGCTCTGTTTGCTACAAGATAAATCTCGTTAAGAGTTTCTACGCATTGATAAAGATTTCCAATTGATCCAAATAGTGGCGGATTGAGGGGGGGGGGGGGGTGCCTCCTCGGCAAATTGGAAATGGTGGCTTAAAGAAATATCTTCTTTCTAAAAATTTCCCTCGCTAAATAGGGAAACACTCGTGCTCCAGGGATTCGCCTCCCAGCTAGGCAGCGACACAAAAGGGTCTAGAGCACGAAAAATTATTAGGTGGCAGAGTGTGGACCGTCCGCACAAGCACAAGGTACTAAGGGTACCTACCTGGGTACCCTATGACACGCACTGATGCACACCTCGTTTTCTCCTACGCTTTTGGCCGCTCTGTTCGCACCTCCAGGCGTGACGGACGAATCTTGCCGGGACGACCAGATCGCCGTCCTGTTCAGCGTTCATGCCTCCCAATTGGTTTGCTTTGTTGTTTGACGGAGGAGCCAGAAGGCAAGGCACGAAGAGCCTGCTGGGTTTCTCACTTGCTCCTCCGCTCGAACCGCTTGAAATCGAAGCCGGCAATCCACGATAATATCGTTCTGCCTCCACAGCTCCACTTCAAGGTTTAGGTAATTCTGAAATTTTTTCTGCATGGTTTAATTCTAAAATTTTTGATTTTTTCCCGCAGTGGCTATCTAGAAAAATGAGTAGAATGATTTTTTTGCCGCAGGGATTCTTATCTATTATGATTCCAAGTAGTTTCGATTGTCTTTTTGATCGGTGAAGTATGGAAGGATTTATTTTGCTTAAATTTATAGTTGCTTGTCTTCCATTACCTATTTACCTTATTCTTGTATCTTCTTAGAATGATGTCGAAATGATTACACCTTATCCCATTATAATCTCTCATTTGTTTTTCTGTGGAATTGTGGAAAGGAGTTGCTTGTTTGATCTTGTGAGTTTCATGTTGATCTTATGTGTTAATAACATAAGATTATAATTTGTAAAGATCTATGACCGGTTGACCTTGAATTAATAATTAGGTTTTGGTATGAGAAATATTTTAAGACGATTTCACAAAGTGCAAATGAGAACAAACAAAGAACTCGAAGCAAAAATCTAAAAAGAATTCGATTGAAATTGAATCATCTAATCATAATGAGGAGAGACGAGCTTAATAACACAGCCTAGTGGAGAGTCAGAAGGCTGAACATGAAATCTACCAAAGTCTTTACCAGCCTCACCGAAAAGAATTTTGTTGCTATGAACATCGATCAGCAGTTTAAGAGTGATTTTTGAATTCAAATCTTCCATGGCTTCTTTGTAGAGATGTTGTGAAAATGGAGTATATAGAAGACAACAAGCTCATATAAGTTTATATAGAGGTTACTTTACGCTTGCCTTTTTGAACTTATCTTCTCTCTTTT